TCATCAGTTATGGATGCAACATTTGGGGGTCATAAGTATACATTACAACGTAAGTGAGCTGGGTCCATACCAACATGATTACAAATTATATGATGTGTGTGTGTGTGTGTGTGTGTGTGTGTGTCTTAGCAAATCATTGGGAAGTTGTGTTGTGTGTTCTTATTGTGATTAATCAGTTAACTTCAAGTTTTATTCCCTTTATTCCACCCAGTGCACACACCTTGGGCTTCTTGACAGGAATCAGCTCCCTCACAGTTTTGGCCTGCACCTCCACCTCTTTGAACGCATGTTTGGGGTCAAAGAACTTGCCATCAATTTTGTCTGGCGCAAGAAAACCTAAGTGGGGATAAGAAAATAGTATCATATGCACGCAGCATAAAAAAAGTTTCATCACATCGCTGTAATCTGCCGCTGGCACTGACCCTGACAGATGACGAAGATCTCGGCGGACTCGTTCCTGGAGGCCTGCGGCTTGGTGGCCTGCACCTTTTTGAAGAACTGCTGGAAGATCCAAAGCAGTGGCTGGTAGTCTTTGGAGCGGAAGACCTTTGTAACAAAGGTGCCACCTTTGTTCAGAAACTCAACGGCCAACTTCAGGGCCATGAGGGTCAAATGAGCTGGGGATGAGAAGGGATGCAGATGTTTCAAAAAGTGTGGTTACAATATTTGCCCTTAAAAAAAAAAAAAACTACTCCTGGATGAGAAGGGAACACAAGCATATTAGAGGAATAATGATTAGGTAGAAATTATACACACATCAATGATAGTTGCTGACACATAGTACTGTTGTCTAATTACATCATGGTTTTGCTGTGGGGCAAAAGGTTATAGGATGTGTAAGGTGTTCCAACATGCGACTGAATATTTATATATAACGTCTCAAAACATTTGCTTTGACACCCACCTTGGGAAAAGGCGTCATGTGACCAGTTGGCTCCCACATTCGGGGCTCCATCATTCAACACAACATCAACCTTCCAAGTGTGTAGCTCTTTTCGTAAAGCCTGCATAAAGGAGAGCCAGGAAACAGATTTTAAAAAATCCATGTTGAGGTCTATTTTATAGTTTGGGAAAATAAAGCTGTCAACGACAACTACCAGGTTATTGAGTTAGTTATCCTGTGAATATTGGTAGACGCACAACATAACAGAGCACTGCCTCACCTGTCTACATTTATCTGTAGTGATGTCTTCTTGCAGTGCCACCACATTGGGGATGGCCTTGATGGGCACCAGGTCAACACCTGACAGGAGAAAACATTATTTAGAAAACGTATCTCACATTTTTAAAAAAGGAGCAATATGAGCGATATCTACTTAATCATAAAATGACTTCATCATCAGACATTAAGGAAACATACTACGCTGAAGTGCTGGCTTCTCTAACAACTATGCAGCAGCCACTGTGTCCTCCTCCTAAGTTTCCAGAATGGTCTATTTGTTTTGACCGGAGAAGGTCTGTGGCTTGAAGGCACCCCCCACAGCCTTGTTTCTATTAACCTCCACGACGACAAACTTTGTAAAACTAGGATAAGTATTGGAGATGCCTTTGAAAATGGAGAAAGGTTTCGAGACTGATGCAGTCTGCGGCTGGCTACACAGAAACATCGGTGTCTGCGACATGGCAATCTGTGTATGCATCTATTCTAGGGAGGAGGGGGCAGGGGAGACGGCTCTCTCCAAAGTTTTGAATTGGGACTGCAGTAGCAATGTATAACACTACAGATCAGATTACATAGTGCTCCTTTAAAATTGTAATTTCCATAACTAACCAAAAAACGCAAAACAACTTAATCTAAATGCTTAAACAGACAAAGAATGAATCTTGACATGTTCATATGAATGACATTAAACTCACCAATGATGAGACTTGATACAGGCATAAATTTGGACGCCACCTGCAACCTGTAAAAAACATTTTAGTACAGGTTTATTCTTTGTGCCAGCTGTATTCCACAACATGTTGCTGATCTGCCTCTCTAGACAGATAAATCCAGGATATTATGGCAATGGTGCACTTACATCTAATAACTCCAAAGCTTACACTTGCATTACAGCACCGAGGAAAAGCAGAATAAAGTTTAAATAAAACTTTGGTTTTGGTTCCAGGTAAATATTTATTGGTCAAGGCAGGTAGAGGACATCTGTGCGTTAGTATAAAACCTTTGAAGATGCAGTGCAACCAACCAAACCATTCTCATGGTGCTGAGGCCACAGAAAAGCTCATCAGTAGTTCACATTACTTTGAATCCTTTATTCAAATTCAACCCCCTCCCCACCAGATTGTTGATGGACGGCTTGCCTCCCCCCACCCCCTTGCTCCCTATCCCTCTTCCTGCATCTTATCCCATCTCTCCCCCTATCCCTTTCCAAGCCCGGCGCAGTCTAGGCCTGTGAAGGCTGTTTCATCATGAGCCGGGTATCCAGACGAAGATTTCTGCCTTTTAATAAGGCAGTTTTTTTTCTTACCACTGTAACTTTTGCTGCTTTGCTAAAGTGTTCATGATGGCTAGGCCTGATCTTTGTAATACTGCAATAAGTAAGGTATTTTACCTGCTTTTTGTAACATCAGAATGAGTAAGGTCTTTTTACCTGCTTTTTGTAATGTTAACAGACAAAGAGTAAAGTATTTTACCTGCTTTTTGTATAGTGTCTCGATATAACACTTGTTATGAGTTGACGCTACACAAATAAAAATTGATTGATTGAAATTGAAGGTTAAATCGTGTCAGTTTAATGACAGTATAACACAATTCTGGTCAGGTTGTCCAGGAACTCCGCCCCCCTTATATCACCTCAATAAGTTATCGACCTGTACAATATGTCCATATTCTGTATATCATCTGTAATCTAGTATAGCACTGCACCTTAATCTGTATATTATAATCTGAAGAATATACTTATATTTATAGCATTTATTTATATTTATAGCATCCCATTAATCCATCCATATATATACCCAATAATTCACTTTTTTTTTTTTTAGTCTACATCTGTACATTTTGTAATTACTTGTACATAGCACAGATTCTTGCACTTTCTGCTTATTTGCACTTCTGGTGAGATGCCAAACCTCATTTCGTTACTCTGTACTTGTACATGTGTGATGACAAGTTGAATCTCATCATCATCTCATCTCAGGTTCCTGCTTCTATCCTGTAGATCTGATACAACTCCAAGTGTCCAGATAACATATAAGCAATCTCAAGTGCATTTTCAATAACAAAACTAACAAACCCAGGGTTGATTAAACAAACAAAATAAATGTTTTTAAACACCCTGCAGAATTAAACCATCGACATGATGAGTGAACATGTTAAAACTGAGCTCACCATCCTCCAGGAGCTGCACACAGGTCCACCAGAGCTCTGGCTTTCTGCAGAAACTGGAATTTACGGTTGAGCTGGATGAGTTTGAAGGAGGACCGAGAGCGATAACCTGTCGAAGACAAACATGTGATTAGACATTTGATCAGATGAGCAACATCAACTGAGAGTCTTCTACTGTGTAGCTTCAACGCGTGAGGTCTCAAAACTTGTTAATTTTACTCTAGACTTGGCACACTTACCTGTTTCTTTGGCAAGGTGGTAGAATTTATCCTTTCGGGTCTTTCCGACTTTAAGTTTCTTCCCCATGTTTTTTTTTCTGGGTTTAAAACTGAGCTATTACACAGAAATAACACACTCAGTCTGATCGTGGCGCAGTTAAACGTCCATGAAATCAAACACGTGCAGCTTGCCCCGTCGCAGACTTTGACGTCATTCTTTTCCCGGTAACTTCTTCTTCGTCTGATTTTTTTTTTTTCTTTTTTCTGGTGCTTGAGGGATATTAGCGCAACCTGCTGGGCTGGGGTTTATTTGTTGCGCTTGCTCGCTCCGAATACAAACAACTACTGACTAAATATGTACAATTAGTTACAGTCTGCGGGTCCCAACTTCACAACATCAGAGAGGTATGTTTGATTTGTGTTTTTGATTTTGGAAAAAAAAAAAAAAAAAAAAAAGTTTTGACTGCACATTAACTTGTCATGTTGTGACCACATGGAGTTTAAGGATAATAACACATATTTTGAACAAATAAATAATTTGGTTTCGTCATGCAGCACTCGCAGGCATACAGGGAAACTGAGATTTTACACTTATAGAAGAATAAATAATTGTAAAACAACGTGGCTGCTACACATTTAATTGTGGTTGTGGCTTATTTGAATTTGCATGTAAACAGCTGCAACAAGTTATGATGATATTGAGTTTCATCCTCACATTACAGAAAGAGTTGGGAAACACTTCCCATAAACTTTTGAGTACAAATTACAATCATTTCTTATTAGTTTGAAGGATTTGTGTAGCAAGAGCTGCTAAAATCAATTAGAATTATGAGGTAGGCCTATATACATTGATATTAGGCTGGACTGTTATATTTGAATAGGCTGTCTGATGTGCTCTAACTTCAAGTTTTCTCTGTTTTAGGATAGCCTACTGTTATCCACTATGATGCGGTCAACACAGCAAATTGTCCTAAAACTGAGTGGGAAGTCAAACAGAACATGGGTGACTCTGTGACTTCACATTTTCACGCCTTTTTTTCGAGTCACCAAGCCACAGTTTGAATATCTGATAGCTATACCTACACACCCTTAAGCCAACCTTTACTTGGTAATTTCTCTGGCAGAAAGACTGGGAACAGGTGCGGGCGAACCATGACACGGAAGCCCAACCTGAAAAATGTTTTTTTTCCCTTGTTTTGCGACAGTGGTAATCCAATGTCAGGATAGCTGAGGAGCTGTGTGAGCTTCAAGGGAGGGAGGATGCAGAGTGAATGTAAGGAGTGGTTATTAAGGGGGACGGGTTGGCCTGTGCTACAAAGATGAGAGGTCTGTCCCCTAACAGACACTGTGGTAGTGGATCTTCAGTGACTGGTCAAGTCAGGTGGCGCTTCCCCATAATGAGATACTGAGCAAGGTTTGAAAGTGAAGAATATGATCTTCTTCACTTTCATTTTGAAGAAACCATTCACATTACAAGTTCAAATTGAGAATATATGAACATATTGTCTTCTTTACTAATGTAACCTCCACAAGCACAGAGATCCGATGGCTATTCAATGAAATAACTCTTCTTTATGTGTTGTCTTTCCAAGCTCACAATACCTCTTATTCAGAGGAGCAGTGTGGCTGCCTGTGAATGGGACAATGCCTCTCTGTGGGTGTATAGTGCCCGGGTGACCTTAGCAACAGTGTGAAACTGTCATCACTCAGAGCAGCGACACTGAAATACCTCCACCAGGACCCCCAGCTACTGGTTTGGCTTTTGGAATATTTTACGACCTTTTTAATCATCTCGAGAATTGGAAACTCAATCTCTTGCTTTTATTTCTTTTCGAACTGGATTTTTTCCACGGTTATGTGCGGATTTATGATGGAGAATTAAAATGGTGAGGAAGAAAAAGCTGCTGGTGTTCGAGTAAGTATCACTCTTATATGGCCTCTGATGTCATTACGCCAACACCAAATCATTATTTTAAAGAACTTTAGAGATGTCTAATGAATCTATAGTTTCATTTTATATATTATTTCTAGAAAGGGTTTTGTGTATTAAGATACAGATGATGTTTATAGAGCATTATAACATATACGTTATGACACTAATCTTTATGGTTGAATAATTATATTATGTGTATGTTTTCATGTTAGTAGCATCTCAGTGACCCCCTGATTAGGTCTTGGTGTTGTAGCTTTCTTTTTTCATCATGGCTTGTGCATCATATATAATTGATAAGATGGAATCACTAATTGCTCTCCTGGGCAGATATAGATTACATCCCGACCCTGTGTTATTTTGATCAGAGCTACATTCTTAGCCTTCCTTTAATACACACAAAATATACATTTCAATAATTTATATGTATCATTAGATTATTCAAGGTCATGTATTTAAAAATAAGTTGTGGAAGTTGAAACATTGGTTTATTTAACTATTTATGGATGTTTATTTTCTATCTGAAATAACCTGGGCTCAAACTATTTTTCTGTCAGCTTCCTCATTGTGTTGACGCTTTTGTAAGCAGCACAGGTGCTCGTGTGTATTGTCTGTGTGTGAGCTGGTGTGTATTGTCTGTCTGTGTGTGTATGGATTGCCTTTACATTGTACCATCCTATCCAGCATTCTCTATCACTGAGAATTAAGTCATTTCTGCTAAAAGTAGCTTTGTTGTTTGTTTTTTTCCTATCTGTTTTGTTTTCTTCTTAGAATTTGTGGAAGCATGATGTGGGATGGATAAGCAACAACAAACATCTACTGTAAGTTGACTGAAAGGTTGTTAGTAACATGACACTTAATATTGTGCCTGGTGTTAATGACAGGATATTGTGGATTTGTAATGTTGGAGTATCAATGTCCTCCATGGTGATTTTAAGGGTACATTCACAGGTCACCTAAATGGTAAAACTGAAACCATTATGACAATTCATCTGACAACTGAAGCGTTAATAGAAAAGTAAGATTTGAATTGATTACAGTTTTGGAGTTGGATGTTTGTTGACTGTACAGTGGTAAAAAAAAAATGAATAATGATGTTTTCGTATCTCTCTCTCTCGGCATGATTGCAGATGGCCTCTAATGACCCTGACCTTTCTGACCCCTCTGGTGACCCCCAGCCTGGTGACCTCATTGAGATCTTCAGACCAGCCTATCAGCACTGGGCTCTCTATCTGGGCGATGGTTATATAATCAACTTAACTCCTGTCGGTCAGTAAGAAACAGCTATTGACATCTAAAAATCGGCCAAGCAAAGCTTTGCTACTACTACTACTACTAATAATAATAATATTAATAGTCATATTGATTATAAGTGTTATCTCAGACAACAGAGGTTTATTTTGACACACTTTGTCCTGATGATTCATTCAAACTAATGTGAGATGTATAATCAGATGCCTTTTTATTGAACAACTTATAATTATTAATTTATTTCATTTAAAGTTGATTTAACCAGGGAAAACCTCTCTGAGATTAAGAATCTCTTTTTCAAGAGTGTCCTGACCAAGACAGGCAGCAACACATTTTATCAACGTTACAGACATTCAGTAAGTCATGTAAATATTTACAACACACAGGTCAACATATCCATGGTCACAGACCAGACTTCCTCCATCTTCCTCCAACACCTTCAATCTTCTTTTTAAATTATTTAAAGAGACTGACCCAAATCCTGCTGCAGCAGATTCCAACCTGCAGGAGCAGCATACCTGAAACTTAATGTCCCCGTTTCAAACACACTTTAGGAGCAGATAACAAGTTTTGAGACAGCGTTGCAGAGCCAAGACTGTAACTTCCAACATTTTTCCCATAAATAAAATAACACATGTATGAGGGAAGCAGGTTAAGTATTGCCTTATAAATCAAGATCAATGATGATGAGTTAGGGCGTTGAGATTTGTGAAGTACCTCAATGCTCCATGATACACAGTATCCAAAGTTTTAGGAAATTGAAAAGATGCATGCATAGAACATCACCGTAGTGGAGTACAATAAAATAAGTTTTGGGGGTTTAAAAGTCATGACTTATCTCTGAAATAAAGACCCAGCTGTAAGTGTAACTTCTTTGTGAACTGCAGAAGATAAAGCTTAAAAGACAGCAAATCCTCAATAAAGAATAAAATATATTTATAAGAAGATACAAATCACGTATCTTCAATCACGTCACCCTCAAACCTAATAATAGAAGGCAGGTTCTGTGGCCTTTTCTTTGAGATTGTAAACTGAATGAGTTTCGTTTTAATCAGCGCTAAAAATCAACATAGCTCACGAAAAGTATCCTGTACAGCATCAAAGGTCTCTTTTAAAAGACAGAGAGCCCGATGCTGTATAGGAGCGGAGCAATAAACAACAGTATCATCTGCATATGAAAATGAAAATTTGTATTAAGAACACTATGAATGGGGATGCTGGTGGCCAATGGTTGGTTTGGAGGCTATGGAGGCTGTAGTCCTCCAAGCGGGCGGCCCGGGTTCGAGTCAGACCTGTGGCTCAAAATGCCGGACACAAAATGCCCCCAAAAAAGAACACTTTGAACGATAATGTCAATATAAAGTGAAAATAACTGTAGTCCCAAGACTTATTATTGTAAGAAATGTATAGGTTATACCTGCAGCCTGCACACACTGTTACCTTTTTTTTTTTTTTTTTTTAATTCCAAGCCAACAGCCAAATTGTTCAAACTGTCCAAGACTATGTAGTCTGTGTTTCATAATTACATTGTCAAAAGTATCGAAGGCCTGCGACAAGTCAATGAAAAGGGCTGCACAGTAATCCGTATTGTCCATGACTTAATGAAATCACTGCCTTTAAAGCTGCTGTGGTTGTACTTTGTTTTTCCTAAAACCTGACTATTGGATAAAATATTGTCGGACAATAAACATTTATTTGTACGTTTGGAAATGGGCTTTAATAATTGTTTTAGCGTATTGATCCGACAATAGATAAGTACATATTTGGGAGCCATAGTGTTGCGAGTCTTTGTGCATCATATCTAGTGATTTTTTTTTATGACTCAGCACCTAAATAAGTGATGTGCGTGTGTTTGCTGACTTTTTCTGAAATGAAGTCTATCCCAGTCAAGACCAGAACCCCTTGCTTTAGTTTAAGCCACGTTGTGTTTTCATTCAGTAACCTGGATACCAATAAGATTGATTTTCTCCCAAGCAAAACTGAAGATATGAAAATGCTCCATATTTCGCTTGTTTGTTGTTGTTCGCTCAGTGATTTGGAGAGTATGACTTTCACATGGAACATGCTATTAATTAAAAAATTAAACAGATTTAGATGGAAAATCTGAATATCAGTCTTCATATTTTAAGTATGATGGAGTCAGATTTTTGATTGAAAGTTCAGTTTTGGGCTTGCGACTGTTATTTCACATTAAATATCATTATAAGATCTGATCTAAAACAGTTTATACTTGGGTACTTTTTACTGAAGTAAATCTAGTTTCAAATTGTATAGTCCCTTTTATTTGAAAGTACTGGTAGTTCAGTTTTGACTTTTCAAAGGATGATGAAATACTTTGTTGTCTTTGGCTCAGATTCTGCATGAAGTGTCTGTATGAACTGTTTGTTGTACATTTCCTCTTTATACATTTTACATACATATACGTATTTTACATACATATAACCTGCAACATTCTAGGTCCCAGATCCTTAAGTATGTTTTCAAAACAATTTTTGTTTAACTCCTCCCCAGATGAGAGCCCCGCAGCCGCCATGTCCAGCGTGAAGTCCGTCTTTAGCCGGAAGGCGGTGGTGCGCATGCAGCTGCTGAAGGAGGTGGTGGGGAGTGACTCATACCGTGTAAACAACAAGTACGACCACAACCACACACCTCTACCCATCAGTGAGATCATCCAGCGATCGCAGGTCCTCATCGGCCAGGAGGTGTCCTATGACCTGCTGGGGAGCAACTGCGAGCACTTTGTTACCCTCCTGCGCTACGGGGAGGGGGTGTCCGAGCAGGTCTCTCATTGTTTGTTTTGTTTCTGTCTCATGTGTCATCAGGGCAAAACACACTTTTTACTCAAAATACCACAGTGAGTGACCACAAATGTCACTACTGTCATTGTTGTGCTATAGAAGTATATGTTCTAAGACATTTAAACAAGACAAATTATTTACTACAGTGGTAAATTAAAGTAATCTTTAACGTAAATAAATCTCACAATATTTAAATTCTAATTGCCTGTGTTAATTTTATTACTCCGTATGGTTTCAAACTATTTTTCTGATATGTCATTGTGTGGTTGCCTGGGAATAACGATTTGCATGATAATCAAAAGCTTATGATTGTTACTTTCTCTTTCTCTTTCAGTCGATCAATCTTTATTTGTATAGCGCCAATTCATAACAAAAGTTATCTCAAGACATTTTACGCTAAGAGCAGGTCCCAACCTCACTCTTTATTACTATAGCTGACATGAAATTATGAATCAAAATGTTAGGGACGCAGTTTTATTCTTCTTAACTTGGAGTGAGTTCATACATTTTTTTCCATACCCATTTTTTTTTTTTTTTTTATCAAAATAAGCTTAACTGTAAGTATTTAGTTAACCAGTTAGCCTGGGTGGCTTGTTTCATATAGGAACAAGTTGGTAGATGTTTGAGATCCAGTACATGATAAATTGTCTTTACTGTGCTTTTTTTAAATTTACGAGACTCATTGGCTAGTTGATACACTTTGTCCAACTCCTTTCATTGTCAACAGACAACCTAAATAATCTGCAAAAAAAAAAAAAGAAGCCCTTTGTTCTAACATCTCCTGTTTCCTAATGGTCCTCAGTCCACCTCCTCTTCCTCTCCTTGTCTCCACAGGCTACACGGGCCATTGGGGCCATCAGTTTGGTGACGGCAGCAGCCAGCGCCTTCTCTGTCTTGGGACTGATCAACACACGATCCAGAAACAGGCCTTTCTGACAGCTGTATTTCCTCCCAACATTCATGCGGCTGTGAATTAAAATGCATAAAAACATCATTAAAATGTAAAGGAAATATAAATGACTTCATTATTTCTTTATAAGTAACTATCCTTGTTTAGTATGAACAACACTGATCAAGTCTGTTAGTTGGGTAAACTTATGGGGATCATGTGCTGCTGCCATGCGTTAAATTACCTTGTACGACAAGATATTAACTTGTGGGAACAACATAATATCTTTTTGTCAAGTTAATATCATGTGCGCACAATATATATATATTTTTTTTACTTTTTGGGACTTCAGGGGCTACATAATAAACCTCATTCAGGTTCTGAAAGTAATAATTTTTCATGATACTTGTGCAGCTCTAGAGAGAGAGAACAGATAAATATCATTAAAGTATAAAAGAAGATTTGCTTGAAGACTTGCTCCAAACTTTCTGTATTCATATATATAGTATACAGCCTGTCACCCACTGTGAACTGGGATTGACTCCAGTCCCGTTAAACCCTTTACAGGACAAACCAGAGAAGACAATTGATTGTTGGTGCTGTAACATGATTAGACCAGTGTACCAGTTTAGCGATGTGCTTTTGAAACTGGCATGAATGTTTCTTTAACTTTCTTTCTAAGCACAATAATTATGCACCTTTACTGTTTTACACATGATTTGTATTGTCAGGATGTCCATGCTGTGAAGTTGCCTTGGGGGGTATTATTCAGTTAACTGAACAGGACTCAGTAAGGTATAGGGAACTCAGGGTTCTCGCTCATTGATTGGCTGCAGCCCGCCAACCTTTACGTCATTTGTCTCCTCCCCCTGTCAAAAAGTGAATTTGTTAGTTACGTCAAGAAGCCGAGAGTTAATCCGAAAGAAGCAGGAAGTTTGATACAATAAGCTTCAATATATAAATATACCCCAATGATTGATTTGTTTGTTTAGTCACAAACTGCATGTTATGCACATTTATACGTAAAAACTAGAGTAAAAGCAAAAATTGCATGATGAATTGCTACTAAGTAAGGGGTAATTTGACTTTCATTGGCTTCAAATATAAAATTAGTCAAAATCAATAGCAACGATAAAATATGGTCTACTAAAAAATAAAAAATAAAATAAAAATAAAAAGTATGATTTGCATAATCAAAAACATGGGAAAGGTTTCATCATTTGAATGTTACAGATAACCACCACGTGTATTTAAATTATACGCAAATCAGAGGAATCTGAAACTGAAGACTTTGCAACCACATTCAAATGTTTGACCTATGTTTCTGGGCACAATGTCAAACGCTGCAGCTCAGGTCAATACGGCTTTTATTGTGAAAGTCGTACCGGAAGTGAAACTCTTTATCCACAATAACCTTTCGGTTTTTTTTTTTTTACCAACACTGGACACAAACAGAAGGTTAGCTAGGCTTGACAGCAGGACATTATTTAACAGGGACGGATCCTCTGTGTTATTGCGGCGGATCGAGATTGTTTGTGTAATGAAAAGAGGACATTGAGCTGTTTTAGAAACGTGGTAAGTGAAATAAACAGCAATAGTTACTCCTCTGACGCGTTGTCGTTCATAACATCAGCTAGCTAAATGTGTTAGCTTGTTTGGCAACTGCAGGCGTCCTCGTGTGTGAGAGATTTAAGAATCAAATCTAGTTAAAGGTTTTTTTTACAGCCTATTATTACCACGAACCATCTAACCGCGTCGGAGCAGTGTAATGTTATTCCCTTGGATGGTAACTATTCTGTTTGTCAGCTGGCACACCTGGGTTTGACCCCTCTTGACCCCTCTTGACCCCTCTGTGTGTTTAGATTGAACGTCATGGCTTCAGCTCCTCCACTCACGCGCTCAGACTCGGCTCGCGGGGAGTTCTCCCCTCTGAAGCACTTTGTCGTCGCCAAGAAGAAGATAAGTGATGTGTTTGAACATCTGCTCAACTACGTGAAAGAGACCTCGGAGTTTGTGGAAGGTGAGATGCTGTGATCTGTTTTTTTTTTTAGTGTGCAGCTACAAAATGTCAAAAGAGAAGTGATTGGATTAACGTGCTCTTCATTTGTCTTGTCACCCTCCGTCTGGCTTTTTTTGTGTGAAGTAAAGTGTGGTATTCATCTCTGTGTTGGACAGAAACCTGTGGGAATAAAGCTTTGGAGAACATAGCGAGTCAGGATCAGAAGTTGGAGATTCAGGCTTATGCTGAGAAACTGGCTATAATTAAGGAGGTGCTGGCACGTAGACACATGAAAGTGGCCTTCTTCGGCAGGTAAGTACATGAATACACTCTGATGGATCATACTTTCTTTTTTGAATAATAACTAACTAGTCCTTTAATGGACACAGTTAAATTAACCATGCATTATCTATTGTAACAAATTCATTGTGCATTATTTGCGTTATTTGAACCATGAAGTATACTTTTTATTAGAAGAGCATGTGTCAGGGAAAAACTGAGATTTTTTTGTTTTTTTTGTTTTTTGAACGTGCTTACATTGAAAGTATTTCTTGTTTTACCTGTGTACTTACAATATCGACTTTTCAGACTCATGAGTAGCTTTACAGTTTGTGTATTACAATGTGACACCTTTGGACTTTCCACATAAACATTCAGAGAACAAGCCAAGTTGTTCACATTCATCCAGTTCATGTCTTGTTTGTTTTTAGGACCAGTAATGGTAAGAGCACTGTGGTCAATGCCATGCTGAGGGACCGCGTGCTGCCCAGCGGGATTGGCCACACGACCAACTGCTTCCTGAGCGTGGAGGGCACCGATGAAGACAAAGCTTATCTCAAGACGGAGGGCTCCGAAGAGGAGAAGAGCATCAAGGTAAATGAGTATGTTGGCACACAGTTTTACACGAACACACTCTCAAAATCTGTCCATCTTCACTAACCAAGCCACCGGTTGCTGTCGCCTTTGAACACTTGTCATCCGATTAAACTGATAATACAAGTTGGGATATCTGAGAAGTGCAGTCAGATTAGCAAGAATCTTGTTAAAGGGGTTTAAAATGTTGTAAGTGCTGTACTTGAATGGGTGTCACAGATGAGCATACAAGCTGACAAGGTTAATCTCTCTAATCTGCTTTGCTGATTGTTCTACAGGTTGTTTTATGTGCAGTCGTTGATTTTTCAAAATCAAATGTACAGTTTTTATCAAAGATGACATTTCCAGTTTGTGATGTATTCATAAAAATGAATTAAAAAAAGGAAGGGTTATAAACAATTACAGTGTATAATTTCATGTGTTCATAACAGATGATCCACAAATTCACACATCAGTCACTTTTTGATCTGTCGGCTGTATTTGTTTACATTGTGTCTGCAGACTGTAAACCAGCTGGCTCATGCACTCCACATGGATGAGAGTTTGGATGCGGGCTGTCTCGTGCGTGTGTTCTGGCCCAAGACCAAGTGTGCTCTGCTTCGAGATGACCTGGTGCTTGTAGACAGGTAACAGCATCAGTTCATCACATTTCAGAATTCCTATCATTATCAATTTGACCGATTCTAGGACGTAAATAAGCGAGACTTTGACCGAGTCAGCCAGCATTGTGAACAAGAATCTTATTGAGGTGGACGTTGCGTTTGACCTCTTCAATACTACTTCCTCTCCCTAGTCCAGGGACAGATGTCACAACACAGCTGGACAGTTGGATTGACAAGTTTTGCCTGGATGCTGACGTCTTTGTGCTGGTGGCCAACTCTGAATCTACACTCATGAACACGGTAAAGCCTCTCAAGTCTGGTTGATATCCTGTGGAAATTAGACTTTATGTTTGGCAATTGTTGTCATTCTGTGTCAGGAGTTAACTGAATGACGTGAATAAACCTGCACTTTCACTTTCAGTTTACGTATGAAGAAGTGTTTGCAGTATTTAGCATCATGTTTTAACCACAAACTTACACGTATTGTCTTACAGAGAAAATGAAAAAGTGAAAGTTGTCTTAATATTTTGGTTTTGTGTATATATTATTCCCCATTTTTGAATCTGTTGCATAATAGTATGCATTGTTACTCTTATTATTCATCCATCCATATTTCCTTATCTCTGCACAGTCTTTCAGAGTTCAAGTAAACTAGCAAAAAAAGTAAGCTTTCTGTTGTGTCGGCCATTTGAGTACTGAAAAGATCAGTGCTGATGTTTTTTTTTTTTTTATGCTGAGCTGATAACAGAGTGGAGAGTGTGGCTGCCTGTGTTGGTATCCAGCCAACGAGGCCTCACACTTGATTCTCTAAGCTCAGGTATTCGTGCAATGTAAAGCTGGACATCATGGTAATCATGGAGTTCATTAACCAGGCAGCAGCTCTTAAAGGGAAAGAAACACACATTACCCAATGAGCTATTCAATGGAATGAATCCAGTCATGATGTTAATAACGTATGATGGTAGAGTTGAATGTTGCAGTGAGAGTCTGAAATCTCCATGCATCTTTGTTTTGTTTTTTTTCCCATGTTACCTCATTTACTCTACTAAACAATATGATTAGCTTCAACATCCCTCTTACTAATCTCTCCTCACCCTTCCGTCTTCTAGGAAAAACACTTTTTCCACAAAGTAAATGAACGCCTGTCAAAGCCCAACATCTTCATCCTCAACAACCGCTGGGACGCCTCAGCAAATGAGCCAGAGTACATGGAGGATGTGAGTCAACCATCTGTTTGTTTTATGTGACAAATAATAAAAGTTTGGTACAGAATGTGATGATTATTTTTTTTATTTGTTTTGTTTGACAAATTTCCATTTCAGGTGAGGAAGCAGCACACAGACCGCTGTGTGGACTTCCTGGTTGAAGAGCTGAAGGTTGTGGATCGTGACCAGGCTCCAAACCGCATCTTCTTTGTCTCTGCCAAAGAGGTGCTCAACTCTCGTATGCAGCGGGCGCAGGGCATGCCTGAAACAGGTGAGGCTTCAGAATATAGCCCTGCTGTTGTTGCAGTTGATAGATTTTTTTTTTTTGGTTTAACAAATTTGTATTATTAGATTGTATAAGCTTTACATGGTACTTAACAGAGTTGCTTACGTACATGTCTTTTTTATTGTTGTTGAGTTGTATTTTTTTATTAAAACTTATAAGGGAC